TTTGCCACCAGACAACGATGTCCGATCCCCGAATTGCCTCAACCAGCAATTGGTGGCAAAAAAAGAAGAGCAATGGCAAATGGGGTTCAAAAAACACTCTCAAAAATATCATTGCTTGTTAATTTCTTGCCAACAGGCACACTTTTAACTTTTGAAATGGTACTTCCATCAGTCTATGGCAAAGACGATTGTTCCCCTGTCACTACATTAATGATTTTAACACAACTTGGCCTTTGTACTTTGTCTTGCTTCTTCTTCCATTTTACCGATAGTTTTCGTGGACCGGACGGGAAAGTTTACTATGGATTTGTGACACCAAGAGGATTGAAAGTTTTCAAGTCCGGACTAGGTGTGGATGTGCCAAAAGATGAGAGGTAATATTTGTGACGGAATAGATATGATAGGCAGATCGCCTGTCACAGTTTTGTAATAGTTTTATGGCAGAATTCATCCATGTGGATTGATATTTATATAAATCATTTTTCACAATTTTGTGACAGTTTTGATGATGGAATTCATCCATGTGGATTGATATTAATTTTGTGATGGAATATATATGACAGACAGATCGTCTGTCACAATTTTGTGACAGTTTTTATGTCTGAATTTATCCATATGGATAGATATATGTGATGATTTTATTCTTTCGTCACGAGCATTATTTTTCTTGTAGTAAATTGATTTCACATTTCAAAGCCGTTATTTCATTTTTTTAATCTATTGTTTACTTTTTCTAACAGGTATGTAGTGGGATTCACGGATTTCGTGCATGCAATGATGTCTGTTTTAGTATTTGTGGCGATTGCTTTTTCGGATCATAGAGTGACGCTTTGTTTATTCCCTGGACATGCAAAAGAACTTGATGAAATTATGAGGAGTTTTCCTTTAATGGTGGGAGTTATTTGCAGTGGACTTTTTCTTGTTTTTCCCAATACTAGATATGGTATTGGATGTATGTCTGCTTAATAATTAGGATTATTATTCAAGTAATTATTCGGGCGGGTTGTGCTTTAATTTTAGGTTGTTTTTGTTTTTCGATTCTTCTTTTCCAATTGTGTATATGTGAGGATTTTTTAGTTAGTTCTTTATGGTACTATTTGACGTATTGTAATTTAAGTAATTACTCTATATATGATCAATAAGTGACTGTGTTTGTTGTTTAGATCTATGGATCAATTTATTTAGGAGCTTTTCTCTATCAGTTGTTAATGTTTATTAACAGAACTAGATGTACCCACCGGGTCCCGCTATTTCAAGGCGTGCACCACGGTTAGTTCCACGGGGCCCTGGAGACGCGGCCGGTTTGTAATGCCTCCAGTGGCCTGTTGGGGCTCGAACTGGCGACCTGAAGGACTTTGTCCTCAGGCCTTTACCAACCGAGCTACCCCTCAGGGTTAGTAAGACTTCAATTTCGTGGTTCTATCCATAGTTTGAGCATTCTCATCATAATTTTAAGAAAATTCTAATTTCAAGTTCAAATAATCTTTTTCTTCCATTTTTAAGTATAATCTTATAGTATTACATGTTTTCACGTGACTTTTTATTAACTTACCACTTTATTTATTATTACTGTTCTTTAATATTTATATTATTTAAAAGTATTGCTCGAAATTCTTAAGTTATTTAGGAGGAAGAAACTAGTTTGGAAGAGTATAATTGGGAATAATGCATTTAGTATTTTAGCTTGCAAGAGATCTGGGCTTTAAGATCATACATTATTGAGCAGAAATTAGTCATTTTTCCATAGAAACAGAACAAGGGTAGAAAATTGACTAAGGTAAATTCAAAGAGTTTATTGGATTCTTGGCATATTTTTGTATAGAAGTAGCCAACAATGTCTTCGAATTTAACCTAAGGGGTTGATATTTCGTGTATTTCCCTATTACATAAGAACCGTCAGGCTTCGACAACATGGCTTTTCTATTAGGATACTCATATGTTATTTTTACTCACACATTGACATTTAAAACATTGCATATCTCTATGACTAGTAGGAATAAGTAGAGGATTTGTACCTTTGCCCTTGTTATCCATCATCTTTTGGCTTGTTCCAGTTAGATGAAGTTTGTTTGCCCTTTTCTTGATTTGTTCTTCCCCTTGGCTTGCTAAAAGCAATGCTTAATCTTAATTGTTCTCGAAAATCATTTCATGAACTCTCTCTCTCGCACAAACACACAGCATATACGTATAACTTTATTGATTCACTGTAATCATTAAACTTCTTTTCGGTCTTGGCAATTTAATGGAACTCCTGAAAAACCAAGACTTTCAGTCTTCTGCTCAGAAATACGGTTATATGCTACATTGGTAGATGACCAAAATAAGAAGTCTTTGTTTTACGGGAGCACTTTGCAAAAATCAATCCGGGGTGATCCACCATGCAGCACTGTAGTGAGTAACCTTAGCATATTAAGACATAATTATAAATATGTTAGTGCAAATTTTATAGTGAGTGGTATTTCAAGACTGCTTAATTTGAAGATGGGATCTCAGTTTTCTATGTTTTCTTGTTCCAATGCATTTTGGGATTTTCAAGTCATAGAATCATCCTTTGACTTTGTCCCTCTCAATCACAGGAAGCAGCGGAACGTGTCGGAGAGAAACTTGTGCAGACTTGTGTTGATCTCAACATCAATGAGATTTCATCTTATGATTGCAATGGTTTTGCTCGAGGAAAAAGAATGCAAGCGTTTGAGATTGCCATTTCTCGCCATGGTTTCCTGCCCAGATAGTTTCTTCCTTCTTTTCTATGTGAATTATTTATAGCCTTCAGAAGTCTGAAGCTTTCTCATAGGGGCTAGGGATGGCAATAGGACAGGGCAGGGCGGGGCAGGTGAAGTATTGCCCTGCCACAAAATCAGCATGCCCTGCCCTATTTAACAGTGTTTCTCTTTTTCAACCTGCCCCGCCCTGCCCCGTTTAGCTTTTTTGTTTCTTTCCATTCTTTTAAGTTTGGAACTGTAACTATTCATGTTATTATAAAAAGAAAGATGAATATGATTTCCATGATAAATCTGATAACGGTATGGCTTCGGTTTACATGACGTAAAATTACTTTATTAAGAGCATGTCATTAAGGCTAAAATTGAATGATGTCTTTCTTTTAACAAGAGATTAAAAAGGAAAAGAGTGTCGTATAAAATGGAATATCATATCTGTACATGCAAAATTAACATTTTGACGTGGAAGACAGCAAACACAACGCTTTAATCAAAGAAGTTCAGAATCATAGACCGTACATCTACTGACATAGTAAGTAATAGTTGTACCCAACAGTTGATTGACCTGTATATCTACCTAAAGACCTGGAGCAATAAACCCTTTATAAACCACTGGAGTTCACTGTAGCTGCACTCTTGCTCTTGCTTCATTTAACATATTCACAAAATATCTCCCACCCAAGATCCACCAATATTACATAACCAAATATTTGCCTAGAATTAAAAACAAAATAATTTGTGGACAACACTTTATATATCTACCCCAAACCAGGAAAAAATAAAAACATAACATAGAAAAAAGACAAACCTCCATCCTATGAAGTAGGCAAACGCAATTAAAAGAAAATTCTAGTTTGTTTGTTGACTTTGCAGCAAAAATCCTGCCCTATCCCTGCCATGCCCCATTAACTATTTCTTGAAAGTGTGTTAATACTTTGCCCTGCTCTGCCCCAATAAGGTTTTGCCCAGCCTCGCCCCGTTTGCCATCCTTAATTGGGGCGTAAAGTAGACGCATATGTAACTACCTTAATAGTAAAGTTTATTATGGATAACTTATGGACGCTTATTTTTATGCTATCAATGTATTTGAACTTATTTTATCAAGTAATTTACATTATTTTCTAGGCTACCAAGTTAGACTACAGGTTCTGTTGTAGTTCACTTTAAGTTGATGGGAAAAAATAGTTTTTCACTATCATTGCACATAAATTTAAACTCTTTTATCATTTCCCTTTGTCCAATAATAATACTAATCCTTTTCGATTATTGAGGTCTATATTAACAGTATTGGAAGGAACATATCTAAACTCATGTAAATCAAATATTTTTTTGTTGGACTCTCTGAGTAATCATAGCAGTCATTTTGCCTTTTCCCAAAATGATTTATTTTTAAAAAGTAATTAACGGGGAAAAAAAAGTAACTACCAAAATGAGGACTTGCAAATTTTGAATTTGAGAGGAATAGTTTGCGGGTGGCAACCATTCGAAACAAGTTAGTTACTTAATGTTAACCAAATTCAAAAATTGTTTATGCCATATTTAATTTACCTACCCAAAACTATAAATAAACCAAAAAGTACATCAAATCAAGTATCCAATACTCCAAACTAATTCATCATCTTTGACTGAAAACTTCATTCGTGATCTTTATTCTTCTTTTTTATTTTCTCAATCTTCAACCCCTCTAAATCTTCTCAATTTTCTTTAAAAAATGGAGCAAAGTACTGAGGGAATTGGGATCAAAATCTACAGTGCATCAAAACGTGCAGATACATCAATATACCCTACTAATTTGCCACCAGACAACGATGTTCCGATCCCCGAATTGCCTCAACCAGCAATTGGTGGCAAAAAAAGAAGAGCAATGGCAAATGGGGTTCAAACAACACTCTCAAAAACATCATTGCTTGTTAATTTCTTGCCAACAGGCACACTTTTAACTTTTGAAATGGTACTTCCATCAGTCTATGGCAAAGGCGATTGTTCCCCTGTCACTACATTAATGATTTTAACACTACTTGGCCTTTGTACTTTGTCTTGCTTCTTCTTCCATTTTACCGATAGTTTTCGTGGACCGGACGGGAAAGTTTACTATGGATTTGTGACACCAAGTGGATTGAAAGTTTTCAAGTCCGGACTAGGTGTGGATATGCCAAAAGATGAGAGGTAATATTTGTGACGGAATACATATGATAGGCAGATCGCCTGTCACAGTTTTGTAATAGTTTTATGGCAGAATTCATCCATGTGGATTGATATTTATATAAATCATTTTTCACAATTTTGTGACAGTTTTGATGATGGAATTCATCCATGTGGATTGATATTAATTTTGTGATGGAATATATATAACAGACAGATCGTCTGTCACAATTTTGTGACAGTTTTTATGTCAGAATTTATCCATATGGATTGATATATGTGATGATTTTATTCTTTCGTCACGAGCATTATTTTTTTTGTAGTAAATTGATTTCACATTTCAAAACCGTTATTTCATTTTTTTAATCTATTGTTTACTTTTTCTAACAAGTACGATAGTGGAATTTACGGATTTCGTGCATGCAATGATGTCTGTTTTAGTATTTGTGGCGATTGCTTTTTCGGATCATAGAGTGACGCTTTGTTTATTCCCTGGACATGCAAAAGAACTTGATGAAATTATGAGGAGTTTTCCTTTAATGGTGGGAGTTATTTGCAGTGGACTTTTTCTTGTTTTTCCCAATACTAGATATGGTATTGGATGTATGTCTGCTTAATAATTAGGGCAGGGTTGTGCTTTAATTTTAGGTTGTTTTTGTTTTTCGATTCTCCTTTTCCAATTGTATATGTGAGGATTTTTTAGTTAGTTCTTTGTGGTACTATTTGATGTATTGTAATTTAAGTAATTACTCTTTATATGATCAATAAGTGACTGTGTTTGTTGTTTAGATCTATGCATCAATTTATTTAGGAGCTTTTCTCTATCAGTTGTTAATGTTTATTAACAGAACTAGCTGTACTCACCGGGTCCCGCTATTTCAAGGCGTGCACCACGGTTAGTTCCACGGGGCCCTGGAGACGCGGCCGGTTTGTAATGACTCCAGTGGCCTGCTGGGGCTCGAACTGGCGACCTGAAGGACTTTGTCCTCAGGCCTTTACCAACCGAGCTACCCCTCAGGGTTAGTAAGACTTCAATTTCGTGGTTCTATCCATAGTTTGAGCATTCTCATCATAATTTTAAGAAAATTCTAATTTCAAGTTCAAATAATCTTTTTCTTCCATTTTTAAGAATAATCTTATAGTATTACATGTTTTCACGTGACTTTTTATTAACTTACCACTTTATTTATTATTACTGTTCTTTAATATTTATATTATTTAAAAGTATTGCTCGAAATTCTTAAATTATTAAAATTTACCAATAATATTTGTAAGTATTGTATATTTACTTTATTTTATTTATAAACTAATTCGTTGTATAAATATCCTCTCTTTAGCTCTAATATGTTTTAATTATTTAAAATTTCCTTTTTCTTAAATTTATTAGACTTGAATTATGTGGCCTTATCCATAATATGACTTTTTTCTTCTCATAATAAACAAAAGAACCTCACTTATGGGGTGTGTGTGTGTGTGGGGGGGGGGGGGGGG